ACCCAAGACATCCCATGCCTGCTGCCATTCGAGGTCTTGGACACGTAACATCTGTGTAACTTTTCCTATTTATTCAGTGCAAAACCAATATGTAAAGTTCACATTATAGATCCATTTAGATTAAATCTGCAAGACTGGATAAATATTTACAGTGGTTTTCTATTTCCCAAAATATGCCTTACTGATTGAATGTAGATTAATGTGCAAATTAAAAAGCAAAAATAAGAAAGATATTTTTGTAAAATAACTTCTCAAAATAGTTTTGAGTCTCTCTTCAAAATAATGTTAAAATACATTCTTGCAGAGAAAGTATAAACTGCAAGCCATGTTATTTTTTAATAGAAACTTCAAGAAACACTAAACTGATATAGCAAGGCACTATACAGCAGCAACTAATACAAGTAAATGAAATGGTTGACTACTTGAACAGATAACACAAGTTCATATTTAATATGACCTAATATCTTTGATGTTATCTATATTCCAGGAATACAAGTTCATTAGAAAGCAAAAATATTACACCACAAGCCAATCTCATTTAATATATTGTCACTAGCTGAAAGTACAGAAATTCCCTGACCTTTGAAGTAACCTCTCCAAGGACTATTTTTCTTCATGTAACTGACTAACACAAGGGAGCTAAAGTATGTGTACAGAAATTTACTCTTCATATGGAATTCAGCCAGGAATAACTACTCTACCAGTATTCAAACACCTGTAAAAGCACTGAAACCCCTGAATAATACGGACCACAGAAAGCAGAAGTTCTTCTGCATAAACAGAGATTTATTATGCATTTCTGCTAGAATATTCTTCTATAAAAATAAATGTAATAGTCTGCAAATACCCTTTTCACCCTAAGAACAAAAAATCAAGACTTTGAATTGTCCCATGAAAATATCTGTTTGTATTGCAACAGTAATTGATAAAGGTTTTAAGACTTTCTAGCTTAGTTTAGAAAGGCTACATGAAACTCAGCAGCAGATAACCACTAGCCAGAGAAGCCACTGCAATGGCAAATCCCTGCCTATAAAATGACTGGGTTGTCAGAACATTCTTAGAAGTACTTAGACATCTGAAAGAACTTTTAAAGAGCTCAATTAAAATACTCTCTTTTATAATGTTACTAGAATTGTATGGAAATGTATTAAAAACAGGCTAAATTAAGTTTTCCTTCTGCATCTAACAGGAGTTTGTGTAAATTTTATTAGCTGACCATCTCCCCTTTTCTTCTTGTTTCAAAATAGAAACAAGAGGAAAAAAAACAGGAAAAAAATTCAGCTTCCAAAAATAAAACCCTACAAACAAACAAAATCTACACAGAAACATTTATACTTGTGTTAAATGTATTCCATACAAAATAAACTCCTCTGCATGCAAGCATGATCTAACCAATGCACTGGAACTCCTGAGTTGCTACAGCATCTTCCAAGAATGAATTAGGACCTATGAATTACAAACAGGCCAGGAAATTGCACGCAGACTGCAAACCTTCCTAAAATGAAAAGATTTGGAAAAATACTCTCATATGCACAATTGAACCTTGTGCATCTTGTGGCTCAGCTACATATAGTCTGAAGAAACAAGTAAGAAAGCAGGGTAGAAATACATCAACATTTTTATGATTATTTGCTTTCTAAAATAACTGTGACTTGATTTTCTGTTTAAAACGTTTCAAGCCTAATAAGATCTACGTGGGACAGATTACTTGGAAAAAGCCTTGTAGAAGCATGCAGTTCTCTTCATATATATTCAACCACTAGTACATGCAGAAGCATATATTTCAAATATTGAAGTACATTCATGTAACAATGAAAAGGTTCTGACAAACCAACCTAGTCAAGAATTGCTTAAAAAAAAAAAAACAACCAAACACTTGGATGGATTAGAGAATAAACATTAATATCTTGAATAAACAGAATTATAGGATATATTGGGTATATATCCCTGCTATACACAAGGACATCTCTAACTAGGTCAGGCTGCTCACAGCCTCATCAAGCCTGACCTTGAATGTCCCCAGGGATGGGGCCTCCATCACTTCTCTGGGCAACCTTTTCCAGTGGTCTATCAGCCTCATATTAAAGAACTTTTTCCTAATGGCTAACCTAAATCCACCCTTTTCTAGTTTAAAGCCATTAGCCCTTGTCCTGTCACTACAAACCCTTGTGAATAGTCCCTCCCCTGCTTTCTTGTAGGCCCCTTTCAAGTACTGGAAGGTTGCTATAAGGTCCTTCCAGACTCTTCTCCAGGCTGAACAACCCCAACTCTCTCAGCCTGTCCTCACAGGAGAGGTGCTCGTATGTATTAAAAATAAACTCCAGTTACTTTTGTTTCCAAATCAAATCCTACCTCAAAAATAAAAATTAACCTTTAAAAATCTAATTAAATACCTCAGTCTATTTGAATTTAATCCTTCAAGATTTCAGTTTCAAAGGGTTTGTTCTCACCTATTGTTATCTAACTCCAAATTTACGTCTATTTAGAAAAACGAACAGGAATAATAAAGTCCTCTTTGTGTAAATTAACAATGGATTAATACTGTGATAAACAATGCAAAATTCCATTAAACACAAGGGAAAGTACAAAAGTGACAACTTTAGCTTTCAGAGTAATTGATATCTTACGCGTCTTTCAAGTTGATTCAAGAACTTTTTCAGAAAAAAAAGTTTCACTGCAGTGAACTAAAATCTCTAACGTACATAATTAAAATTAATTTTTATAACACTTTCCTTAACACTATGGAGAAGAAAAAATTTTTACAAATCTAAGCACTTACCAGATTTATGCTGCCAGTAGGCGATCCATTAAAAGATTCTGGGAGCAATGAGGAAGGGGAAAGGAAAAAAACAGGTTAGAAGACTTTTCTCCAGTGTATGGCTACACATAAATAACAATGCCAAGACAAACCATTATAGAAAATAACGGACAGCTGTGGCATTGGGCAGTGTTGCACCCAACACAGAAGTACTTCAAATTTACAACAAAGACACCTAATGGAAAATATCTATAGCTGTATAAACTTAGAGACATGAAATAAATACTCCAGAAAACATTCTTTTTAAGCTTGTATCACTACATGGAATTGTTTCATTATGGAGTGTGTTTAATAGCAAAACAATTTCCATTAGATTGATACTTCAGTTAATGCAAAGAATTATTTTAGTTGCTTTAAAAAGCCACATCACCTACGTACTTTCAATTCCTATTTCCACATGAAGAATACATTCATGTATGAAAACCCAACATGTAGAAGAACCTCAAATATTGTTGAATAACAAATGAGAATGTGTCACACTTATTTTAGTGACATACTTCTAACCAAGACTTGGCAAAAAAGTACATGAGATTAATAAATTTACTACAGAGAAAACTATTTGACCCTCCAAACAATTTACAAAAAAAAAAAAAAACACAAGGAAGAAACAATGTAAAAGTCAGAGAGTACAGGAACTTTGATTTCACAAAACCAGTGTTGATAATTGTCTTATTTTCTTGCAACTATTCTTTTCTGCTTTAAGAAGAAATCCCCCTTAGCTCACCTCCTTCTCCATCATCTGATCCTCTGAAACTAGGATCCTTCAGCATACCCAGCTCAGCTAGCATACGCACATACAACACATTCTGTTTGAACGAAGGGTAGAATCTTTCATCTCGCAGCATCAATTCATACACCTGAAATAAAAATGCCAACCTAGAAATACTTAGTCCACTTCTTAATTAACTGGACAAACTTTCATAAATTCTACTTGACCAACATGTATCTACATATTCCACTATGTGTTTCTGAGTCTCCCTTAAAACCCTAGAAGTTTGTGAAATTTTGTTTCAGGCTTACTCTTAACAGAAAGGTGATAAGAACTGCTTGTGCAAGAATTACAACACTGTCAGAAAATACCTTTCTAACTAGAGCAATATGCACATATAGGCCAGGAAGTAGCACATGAACCATAAACATTCCCCTCCTCTCACCTTAACCCTTCCAATTGCCCCATAAAGCTGTTTGGTTTCTGCCGATTGCACAACACATTATCTCTGAGTCTTCCTTTGTTGATAAACTATTAAACACAGACCTCTAAAACACTTAGGGGGAGAGGTGAAAAGAGGGAAGGGAAGGAAAGGAAGACACTACATACTACTTCCCTGAAAATTTCCAGTTCAGTCAGCGCAGTATAACCCTACCTCACAAAGATTTAACCACACCACCTGATACAGTTACCTCTATAGCCTATACAGTGACAGCAGATATACATATACACACATTTTATATGTAGTGGAAATGAATTAGTAATATTCATGCCAATTCTAGAATATTTTAATGAAGAGGTTTTTCTTCATGGAAAACTTTGTACAAATGTTATCACCTGATAAGAACAGAAAAAAAGTTTCATGCAGGTCTGAGGAAGTCAATTGCTTTTGTAACACGATGAATTTTTGCTCTTCAGCAAAAATCACACAGAAACCCCTTGTAACCTACTTTGGGCAATACAAATTTCACAAGGTGTTTTCATTAGTCTTAAATGGGGCCGTCAAATACAATAGAGTGATTCTAAGTTCTACATCTCGTACCACTAATTTTCAGCATGAATGAGAACATTAAGTTAATAAAAACCTCCCAAACTGGCTATTTAACTTACTGATAGAAACACTTTTTTTTACATTTATATATATATATTAAGACTTGATTGATAACATCTACATATACAGGTAGCACAAAGACTGTTTTATCTTCAGTACTTGCTACGTCTGAGTGCTACACTGTGCAGGCTTGCAGAAACAGAACAGTCAATTTAACTTCTGGAAAGAGAAGTAGAATTTAATATGGTAACATGCTTACACCCACCTTTGAAAGGAAGCTAAAACGAGACCAAAACTGTACCATTTAGTTATTCTACACAGGCACTTTTCTTAAACTGTTGCATAAACACAGATAACAATCCCATAATTCTAAATTGTGCTTTGTATTTGATTGCATATGGGACACCTACTCTGTCTACTACTTCAAAAACTATGGGCTACATATGGCTAAGCAGAAGTGGGCAATTTAGAGTATTGTTTCTATAGAATAGGAAAATGGTAAAATAGGTTTTAGGCTTCAGCTATTTGAGTTCCGTCCTTTTTCAATGGCTGTAGTGACACTTAACGTTCTATAGCATTAACAACTCTTATGAAATACAGGATGAATAGAGTATACCTTCCTCTGAATGTCATCAAAGATTTCAGGTGTTGGATCCTCATGGTTCAGTGTTTCTGCCAGTTTTGCTACTAAGTTGTCATCGATATTAACTCTTGGAGATGCCTGTTGTAGAGATCTAAGTCAACTTTTGCAGCATAAAAATAAGAAAGCTGTTTCCACAAATAAAATCTAATACAATCCTGCAATTCTCCAAGTAAACTAAACTTCTTGATGAGTATCTTTAGAACTGTCTAGGACACACAACAGGGGTCAGACCCCTTCATCCCCCCAAAATTAAGTTCAGAGTTTGTATTAAAAGTCTGAAGTTTCAGAATTAAACATTAAGAATCACCTTAAAAACAATTTATGCATGTTATTCTAAGACAATATCTACACCAGATGTGCTGAGACTTAAAAACAAATTTTACTTATGAATAAAAGATCTAGATTCAGAAATTAAGAACAAGCCACTAAGAAAGTAAACAGATGAAGTCCTGAAACATCTGAGTAAAGACTAACAGTTTGTCAACTCCATCAATTTCTAGAAAGATTGCCAGCAGCCGTAATCATGATAGTTTATGCAGATTATTACAGCTACCAGCATACTAACTATATCAGTCATCAGATTCCCAGTAATTTTTTAGTATTAGGTATTTCAAACCACTGCTTATTAAGCGTTCTTTTAGATGGGCTCAAGTTCACACACTTTCCTCATTTTCTGTAACAAAGACAGGGAGTCAGCACTGAACCACAACCAACATAGGTCACTTGACAGCATAGCAGAGAGGCTGAGTTTATCATCTTTAGAACAGCTCGTGTTAGGTGGCTTCCGACTTCAAAGTGGTGAGCATTTGGTCAGCTCAAAAGTCCACCAGAGCAAGCTCTGCACAGACTACCATGTTGATAGATTACTGATACAGAAAGAAGCATTACAAGATATTTAAGGGATAATTTGTTGAGGGAAGCTTTTGAGTGAGCCGAGGAATGATTTTTATGCACAAATTCAGAACAAAGATGCTTTATTAACACAAGTTGATAAGTGTTTTCTTTCACAGAAAACTCCGTTATTACAAGACTACTGGAAGCATTCAAGCTCAGCCTATTAAAAGATACCCAACGGTGACATCTGAGCAGTTTACACAGACAGCTGTAGAGAGGCACAGGAAGCTACTTCATTCGCAAACCAAATTTTAATCCAAGTTCGAACAAATATTGGGTTGCATTATTTAAAAGAACCATTTCTTAAGGCAGGGGGAGGCACAGTGCAGAGTAAAGGGCAGAGTAAAAAGAAGGGAAAGGACAGCATAAACAAAGGGACAGATTTTCTTATTCACTTCACGTCTTCTCTATAGTTTTTCTCTATTCTATAAAATCAGCTTGAGGAAGACATTCAGTGCATTTCAGAGGATAGCCAGTGCCAGTATGAGCCTTTTTAAAAGGAGAGGGGGGGGTAAAAAAGGAAACCCAAACACAAAAAACAGAGGAAGACATTTTCTTACTGCTTGACATAAGGACAGAGAAGATATACAAGTGATAACTTAAAAGTCAACTTGCAAAACATCACATCCATTTCATATTAACGTAACCATAACTACCGAAGAAGCATCTGTACAAAAAATAAGTCACAAATAATACAAAAATCAGTTATTCCAACCTTTTCTGATAAATATTGCTCATAAACACCAAATGCAGCTGCTCTTAATAGACCCTTGGTTTGATTAGTCTGATGTTTTCCATCTTTCTGCCGGCTTTGAAGTACCTCCAGCTGTTGCTGTGCCGTAACCCTGTATCCTTCCACTGTCATCCAGAAAAACAGATGTGCTTGGCCACCAGTCTGCTGCATGTAATCTACAGAAAACAGTCATCATGCCACCATAGTTATTGTTGTGCACCTTAGAATAAGAATTCTCTATGATGTGAACTCCAGGATCTGGTTATACATCTGGAATAATTGTCATCCAGAGTCAAAAAATGGAAAGGACTCCATATATATTGCTGATAATCAGCAAACAAAATTGGGAGCAAAGTCTAGGAACCAAGCCCTGAATCCTGAAATGCACCATGTAAAAAATAAACGCATCACTACTGTGTGCATCCAACAGCCTTGTACAGCATGATACAAGTTGAGAGGAAGATCAAACTAGAACTCTAACAAATCACATACAAAGAATCATAGAATCATTTTGGTTGGAAAAGACTTTTAAGATCATCAAATTGAACTGTTACCCTGTCACTGCCATGTCACCACTAAACCATGTCCCTAAGCACCATACCTACACTTCTTTTAAATACCTCCACGACTGTCATGGGCAGCCTAGTCCAGGCCCTGACAACTCTTTCGGTAGAGAAATTTTTCCTAATATCTAACCTAAAACTCTACTGGAGCAACTTGAGGCCACTTCCTCTTGTCCTATCCCTTGTTACTTTAGAGAACGGACCAACACTCACCTGCGTACAACCTCCTTTGAGGTAGCTGTAGAGTGAAAAGGTCTCCCCTCAGTTTCCTTTTTTCCCAGGCCACACCCTAGTTCCCTGAGCTGTTCCTCATAATATTTCTGCTCTAGACCCTTCATCAGCTTCATTGCCCTTCTTTGGACACACTCCAGCACCTCATTGTCTTTTTTGTAGTGAGAGGACCAAAACTGAACACAGTGCTGAGAACAGGGGGATGATCACTTCCTTAGTCCTGCTGGCCACATTATTTCTGACACAGGCCAGGATGCTGTTGGTCGCTTTGGCCACCTGGGCACACTTCTGTCTCATGTTACCTGGCTGTCAACCATCATCCCCAGGTCCTTTTCCACCAGACAGCTTTCTAGTCACTCCTTCTCAAGCCTGTAGCATTGCATGGGGTTGTTGTGAACGAAGTCCAGGACCTGGCACTTGGCCTTGTTCAATCTCATACAATTGGCCTTAGCCCATCGATCCAGCCTGTCGAGATCCCTCTGTAGAGCCTCCCTATCTCCATGCAGATCAACACATCCACCTAACTTGGTGTCATCTGCAAATGTACTCAGGGTGCACTTAATCCCCTCATCCAGATCATTGATAAAGATATTAAATAGAACTGGCCCAAATAACTGAGCCCTGGGGAACACCACTTGTGATCAGCCACCAACTGGATTTAAACTCCATCACCACGCTCTGGGCCCAGCCATCCAGCCAGTTTTTTACCCAGTTCAGGGTGCTCTCATCCAAGCCATGAACAGTCAGTTTCTCCAGGAGACTGCTGTGGGAAACTGTGTCAAAGGCTTTACTACAATCCAGGTAAACAACATCCACAGCCTTTCCTTCACCCACTAGGCAGGTCACTTGTCATAGAAAGAAATAAGGTTCATCAAGCAGGACCTGCCTTTCATAATCCCATGCTGACTGGGTCTGATCACCAGGTTGTCCTGTATGTGCCACATGCTCAAGATTATCTGCTCCATAACCTTCCCCTGTACAAAGGTCAGCCTGACGGCTCCGCAGTTCCCCATACATTCCTTCCAGCCCTTCCTGTAGGCGAGTGTGACTTTTGCTAACCTCCATTAAACAGGAACCTGGTTAGCCAGGACTGCTGATAGATAATACAAAGTGGCTTGATGAGCACATCCACCAGGTCCCTCACTACCCTTGGGCAGACCCTATCCGGCCCCTGAGACTCATGTGTGTGTCTCTAAGTGATGCAGTAGGTCGCTTCCCCTTGGATTATGCGGGCTTCATTCTGCTCCCTGTCTTCCAGCTCAGGGGGCTGGGTACCCCAGGAACAACTGATCTTACCATTAAATATTGAGAGGCAAAGAAGGCATTAAAGTACCTCATCCTTTGTCACTATGTTTGCCTCTTCATCCAATCATGTAGATTCTCCTTAGCCTTCCTTTTGTTGCTAATGCATTTATTGAAACATTTTCAATTGTCTTTTACGGCAGTACACAGATGAAGTTCTAATTGGGCTTTGGCCCTTCTAATTTTCTCCCTGCATAGCCCCACAGAATCTCTGTAGTCCTCCTGCGTTGCCTGCCCACTCTTCCAAAGGTCAAACTCTCCTTTCTTCCCCTTCCCCTTTCCTTCTGGAATAATGCCCAGCCCTCCTGGACTCCTTTGCCCTTCAGGACTGCCTCCCAAGGGACTGTCAACCATGCCCCTAAACAGGCCAAAGTCTGCCCTCCAGAAGCCTACAATGGTAGTTCTGCTTACTCTCCCCTCCTCACTTGTCCAAGAATCAGAAACTACATTCTGTGACTGCTACACCCAAGACGCCCTCCAAACATCACATCACCTACAAGTCCTCCTCTGTTCAAGACAAGAGGTCCATCAGGATACTCTCCCTAGCTGGCTCACTCACTAATTGTGTTCGGAAGTGATACCATCCACACACACTAGGAACCTCCTGGACTGTTTCCTCTCTGCCGTATTGTACTTCCATTTACTGCATTAAAAGGACTCTCACCACCAAAAAAACCTATGGATAATCTTAGTACTGACACCAAGAGCCTAATTATTCCACAGAAGAGAATCAAACATGAAAAAAACATTAAAAGTGAGTTATACAACTATGGATTTCTTGATTATATGATAAATGTAAAGTAGTACACAAATTACTGTTGTATTTTGGCTTCTCAAACAGAAAGTGTTCAGTAGCCTTGTAATCCTCTCAACATCATTCACAGCTCTTAGTCCCATTAGCTTCAGTGAGACCAGCACAAGTAAGGCTGATGACTGTGGTAAGTTTCACAGAGTCATTCCAATTATAAGCCACCAAGCAATTCTTGCAATGATTCTGTTCTAAACAGAAGAAAATTGGGAAGTCACTGACCAAGAAGCATTGCAAGAACAGTCTTACAGACACATCATTATCAAAACTGATGAAGGATGAGGTTCTCAATGACTTCTTTACTTCAGTCTTTACTGGCAAGGTCTCCAACCAAACTCCCCGAGTCATAGAAGACAATGTCAGGGCCTTGAAGGAAGAGCTGCCCATTGTAAGTGAAGATGAGGTTCGAGACCACCTGATGAACCTGAAAGTGTTCAAGTCCATGGGACCTGATGGGATACACCCATGAGTACTGAGAGAGCTGGCAGATGAGGTTGCTAAACCCCTCTCTATTATATTCCAAACGTCATGGCAGTCTGGTGAAATCCCCACTGACTGGAAAAGGGGAAACACAACCCCCATTTTCAAAAAGGGTAAGAAGGAAGAACCAGGGAACTATAGGCCAGTCAGTCTCATGCTGTGCCCAGTAAGATCATGAAGGAGATCCTCCTGGAGGCACTGCTGAGACAGAAGAATAGTGAAGAGATGATTGGGCATATTCAACATGGCTTCACCAAGGGCAAATCATGCCTGACAAACCTGGTGGCCTTCTATGAAAAGGTCACAACATCAATAGAGGAAGGACAAGCAACTGACGTCATTTACCTGGACCTGAGCAAAGCCTTTGACACTGTCCCCCACGACATCCTGGTCTCCAAGCTGTTAAAATATGGATTTGATGGATGGACAACACGGTAGATAAAGAACTGGCTTGAAGGCTACAAACAAAGAGCAGCTGTCCATGTCCAAGGTGGAGGCCAGTGACAAGTGGAGTC